AGTCAGCCAGGTCTACTCTTCTGTTGTAAGAGGGAGACTACATGGCATGACGGAAAGGGGACTCTGCCAAGATATCTGCTATATTGTGCTACCCCAACCAGGGGATGGACCTTGCCTCACAATGTCACCTACACTGCCCAACACTCTGTAGTTGGTATTTCCCTATTATTCCTCCTTTCATCACTCTGTACTCTTTGAATGTTAATCCTAAGGGAAGCTATGATTAATCAAACCTAATGACCCTGGGTTTTCATAGGGGTTCCCCAGTGGCTAGGTAAACTTTCATCATTAGTAGCAAGCTGGGGAACACCTATAAGAAGGGTACAGAGATGAACTTTTTCCCTATCTTTACAGCAAACAATTTTTTAAAAAGATTTTATTTATTTATTTGAGAGAGAAAGCATGAGTAGGTAGGAGGGGCAGAGGGAGAGGGAGAAGCAGACTCCCCGCTGAGCAGGGAGCCCAATAAAGGGCTTGATCCCAGGGCCCTGAGATCATGACCTGAGCTGAAGGCAGACGCTTAACCGCCTGAGCCACCCAGGGGCCCGCTTTTTCCTGATCTTTAATCCTTCCTCTCCCAATGCAGAAATCCTTTTAATCGTCATAGTTATAAGCAAAGTTGTGGACTTCCTTCCCTTCAGCCCACCTGAAAAGAGGACAGAGGACAATTCTTCTCCCCTAGGCCTCACTCATATCTCTACAACCCCAAGGATTTCTGCACTCAGAAAAGAAAGGACAGTTTTCACTAGTCGATCACCCTTCTCAAAACCATCTTTCTCATTTCTTGGAGGCAATCTCTCAAATAAACAATAGGAAAGGTCATACATAATATGGTAAGAGACAATGGATAATTATTAATATGTTACTCTGTTAAAACCAAGAACTGTAGTTTGATATCTTTAAGAAGCCAAAAAACATTAGTCTAATTTTTTATTTAAATAAGGGTGCTGTGACCTGATCAACACTACGAAACGCATTCCTCAGGTGCTGTGAAGAAAGCTCAGTTCAACTTTTCCTCTACATTACTTGACATTTTTATCATGGGGGAGGAGGTAGAGACCTTTTAATATTTCCTACAAACATCTTCAAGGCTGACTTGGTTTTACTGAGTGTAAGTATAAATGTGATTGAAAAACTGTTAAAGTTCTTTACTAGAGGTACCTGGGTGGCTCACTCGGTTAAGTGGCTGCCTTCCGCTCAGGTCATGATCTCCAGATCCTGGGATCGAGGCACACATCAGGCTCCCTCCTCAGCAGGGAGTCTGCTTCTCTCTCTCTTTCTCCCTCTGCTCCTCCCCCTGCTCCTTCTCTCTCTCTCAAATAAATAAAATCTTTGAAAAAATAAAGTTCTGGGGCACCTGGGTGGCTCAGTCATTAAGCGGCTGCCTTCAGCTCAGGTCATGGTTTCAGGGTCTTAGGATCGAGCCCCGCATCGGGCTCCCTGCTCAGCGGGAAGCCTGCTTCTCCCTCTCCCGCTCTCCCTGCTTGTGTTCCCTCTCTCGCTGTCTCTCTCTCTGTCAAATAAATAAATAAATAAAATCTTTAAAAAAAAAAGTTCTTTACTAAAACAGAAGTCTTATTACTTTCTGAACTTCCTATTCTGTCATTTCTCCCACTAAGCATTTTTTCCCCTTGATTCAAGAAAACAGTTGAATAAAGGGATTTCTCATTGCATACATTTTTTTTTTTTAGGTTTTATTAGAGAGAGAGAGAGAGAGAGAGTGGGAGAGGGAGAGAGAATCTGAAGCAGACTCCACACTGAGCTCAGAGCCAGATGTAGGGCTCGATCCCACGACCATGAGATCATGACCTGAGTTGAAACCAAGAATTGGACACTTAACCAACTGAACCACCCAGGTGCCCCTCATTGCATACATTTCTAAGATGAAATCTTGCTATGAACATATTTTATCAAGTTCATTTTAAATACATCATGAAGTACTTTACTTTTCATGAATGTGATATCCTATTATATTTTCTTTACATGATTTAGATACACAATTTTGGAAGCCAACATAACTTAGGATTATTTTCCTTTCTCCTTCAGGTAATTTTTTATAATGACAAAATGTTTATCTTTCAATAATCACTACTTATCTATGGCAAATACAAAATTTTGACAACTTGAATTTGAAAGTTTTTGACATTTAGCTACAGTCTAGCTAGAAGGAAGTAAATATTGTAGGAATATAAGGTTTAATTTATTACCCAGGCCAAGCAGTAGCACACCACTACCGCTGCCAGTCAAAACTAACTAACTAAATAAATAACATCTGAGCAGTTTCTCGCCTCAGGAACTTTATCTGACCTTTGCAGCCACTCCATGAAGTGGGTGCTTTATTTCAATGATGAGGAAACTAAGGCTTTGAAGAGGCTAACTGATTTATCTAGATCAACAGTCAACTACAGGCAGAGCCAGGATCGAAACCCAGGTTTGAATGACTGCAAAGTCAGGGTGAGTTGAAATTTAATCTCCTACTAAGAGAATATAAAAATGCCTGGAAAGATGTTAATAAAAATAATAATCTTTGCTATCTCTAGGTAGTAAGTCTCAGATTGTTTTTTCACTTTCCTTTTCGTTTTTGTAACGTACTATTTGAAATTCCCACACTAAGAAAGTTTTTTTTTTCCCTAAAGAAAATCAAGCTCCAGGAAAAAAAACAAAACAAGCATACAAAAAACCTATGATTCTGTAACTTGAGTTTTGAAGAAACACTCAAAAAAGTGTTCCCATGGTCAAGTGGGAGAAGAAGATATTAAAGGTAGGAGGAAAAACAGGATGGAGTGGAAGGAAGTGTTTTTGGACAGACTCATAGGGAAGCCACATGGTACGTCCCCTAGCCTACCACCTTTCTCTTAAGCTCTATTCACCTAGATGTCTACATCTTTTGACCCAGAGATCTTCTCTATGAATTTACCTTAAGGAAAAGCTAAGTGCAAGAACTCATCCATGGCAGCATCACCTATTGTGGGGAAAAATCTAGAAACAATCTAACAGTCCAAAGCTAAGGCCTATTAATAAATTATAAAGATCAGATAAAAACAAGGATGTTTATCATATAAAATATACAAAAATAAGGATACACTATCACGTTTATTTTTTTGTTACATTTTTGTTATATTTTCTCCACTTTTACAGTCAAAAATTACTTAAAATATTTCCTTTAAAATGCCAGCATAATTATGTTATTAGAAGTAATAAGGATCAAATACATGGTGCCATAAGCCAGATCTAAAAGTCTCCCAGCTGGAAAAGGGAAGCAGGAAGCTCCAGCACTCTACCCAGAGGACAACGACATGGTGATGTAATTGACCATGGGAAGCAGTTCATTCATAGGAAATCAAGGTGGGTGGTATGATGAACAGAGAAGTTGCAAGCATATTAAGGCTGTAAAAAAGTACATATTATGCGCCTTCCAACTTATTAGGACATATTATAAGTACAATGCAAAAGACTTTTACAGATGAAACCTCACATTTACAAGTGTGGCAGAGAAATATATGCAGAGGTAGTTGGACATGCATTAAAAAAGGGGCTACTAAAAATGGAATAAGGTATTTACCCCATAGTGAAGTACCCTCTTTACACTTTGCCACAAAATTCTGGAAATTCACAAAATTCTGGAAAATTATTTACAAACTATAATGTAAGATCCTTTCATAATCTTTTATTGCTAGAAGAAAAGAATACAGACTAAGATAAAACAGGTATGCATAAAGAACAAGGGCTGAATATTTTAGAATAATTAGGAGAGGCTTATAGCTGTTTGTGGTAGAAAAGGAAGACAAATGCAGCCTTAGAAATACTAAAAACACGAAACAGTCTGTGAATATCGTTTTTTTTTTAACACCATTCTCACTTCTAAGTGAAATATGCTCTAAATTATCATATACCTAATCTTACAACTGACGTGGTAACGGTGACTAAATATAACAATGAGTAAATGAGAGATTTTTTTTTCTACTTCTGACGGCCTTAAAATACAGCTTTTTTCAAATCCTTTATTTTCTTCATAGCTAGTTAACTACCTTCTTTTCCCTGGAAAATTGAGGAGAGCAGCAGAAAATCATGAGTGTAACAAGAAAATGACGAAACGGATTTCTGAGGTGGCTTGAGGAAATGACTATCAGGTGTTCATAGTCAGTCACACCCTATTATATAGGCCTGGAGAGAACCAGAGGGGATCAAATTCCTCACAGCTCCAGAGAACATAAGGGTTCAAACAAGATGGGCATCCTTGTGGCCAACTCTTCAGTTTTCAGATATTTAGGCTCTAAACCTAAGTGGATATTTCCACAGGAAATTTCCACTATGGTATTTTAAAATATCACAGGGCCCCTGAAAGTCCTATAACACATAAAAAGAACTATCTGTAATTAGGAATGTAACATCAACCACTAACCTGAATTTACATGGGCTCTAAAAATAGGAAGTCCTAACACTGCTGACCTTGGGACTTTCTGCCTTATATTTAACCCAAAACATTTACACATTTTAAGACATTTTCTTTCTGTTTTAGCCTTAGAGAATGTGAAAAATCACTGGCTGCTCTTAAGTCTGTGGAGTGATACTTCCTATACAAGGAAAGTAATTATATTTTAATAAAATGGAACTTTTTTCTATGAAGTTTTCTGAAGTAGTCTTTGGAGACTGGTTTACGAAATCTAACATTTTCTTGCAGTATACTTTGACTTAAATGAATTATCCAGGTTCAGCTAAGGATTCCAAATGCACCAAGCCCAGAAAACTTGACTTCTGGTCTCATGCTACCCAACACATGCTTCTGCCAGACATTATGATTAAAGCAATCAACCTTGATTATTGTAGGTAGCTGAACCCAGGTTAAAAAAAAAAAAAAAAAAAACAACTTTAAATACATTCCACAATGCTTTACAGAAGCAAACAAAAACAAATGGAAAAAAAAAGAAAAAAAATCACATTAAAAAGCTGATTTTTGTTTAAAACACCAAGCAAGGAATGGACATATGAATATTCCTAACCTGCAAAATGATTCCTCCACATTATATCAGCGAAACTCATTGGTGGGCCACTGGGAGGGTAGTGTTTACCTTTCAGAGGCTCATGATCAGTCCTTATCATATCCATTAAGGAGTTCTCCAACGAATGCAAGTTAAAAGTGTCATAGGGCCTACTCCGGTCCTAAAAATAAAAACACAGAACAAGACAATACATAAAATTACTTCATAAAATTAGTACTATATAGTTTGCTTCTTGCCATGGATTGATGACATGAATCAAAGTTCCAGATAGTTCTAATAACACACATTCTTTTCATAAGAACAGTGATTGGCAACATTAAGCTTAATACAAGTTTCTATAATTAATTGCATCCTTTTCCCCAATGTTCTTTAATGTATATGTCCCACTACTTCAGACTTTCTCTCAAAGAACTTAAGAAAGTAAATTCAAAGGAAAGAGTCAAGTCAACTGACTTTGCCCTGAGCCCTTCACCCCAGCCTCCGCTGTCAAATAAACATTCTATGCAAATGAACAGAGAATTTTTTATCTAGAGGAAGTCCCTAATTAAGAACTCTCAAGTCTACGAACAGAATCACTTTCCTGAAAAATCAAAAGGTGACTGTAATTATAATCTAATTTTATTGGGTATCTTTAATATTTAATACAGATAAGTTCCATACATTAGATATACTCTATAAAACTTAAAATGTGTTCAAAGTACTACTAAAAATAACTTTTGAAAAGCACTCACATGAAAAAACTTTAACCCAAGATAGTGTTTTCATGATGCTAGAGTCAAAAATATTTTGAAAATAGAGCGCTAACACAAACTAAGTGAAGAAAAATCATCGTTCCACCACATTTCACTTGAGCCCATGGAAGACTATCATGTACAAATTATTTTTACTAGTCTGAGCTAAAGGGAGGCACAACTCATGGCTTAACATTACAGAATAAATCACATTACAGATTTAGTTTGCTTTTGTTTAAGAAAAGCAAAACAGGGGCGCCTGGGTGGCTTTGTCGGTTGTATCGGACTCTTGATTTTGGTTCAGGTCGTGATCTCAGGGTCTTGAGATCGAGCTCTGTGTGGGGCTCCGGGCTCAGTGCAGAGTCTGCTTGAGATTCAACCTCCCTCTTGCCCTCCCATGCCCCCCGCACACTCACGTGGGCTCTCTCTCTCAAATAAATAAATAAATCTTTAAAAAAGAAAAGCAAAACACACATTTCAACAACCACACCAAATCAAACTATAGCAATGAGAGATTATTTTCAGGGTCCTGGACAGTCTACCCAGCCCTGCAAATGATCACTTATCATCTCCAAAGAACAACAATAATAAGTAACTGTCTGGATAAGCAAAATGGAATATAACAGGTAAAAAGCTCAACTTCAGTGACCATTTTCTAGCTTAAGTCTTAACTCTTGGGAAGCTGTTTTTCTTCTGGTTTCTGGAAAGTATGACTGTATATCTATTCAGGGAAGCAGAAAGGAAAGTGGTATTTCTGCAGCACTGAGCATAAAGGAAGAATCAGAGGGTTATTGAATGAATGAAAGCAGTATGTATACATGCAGATCCTAAGAAGAACTGAGCACCAGGAGGCAAGAGCGCTAGAATAACTACTAACAACTGGGGACTCTGAGTACCATCATGATCTACCTCTCCAGTTTGTGCCTGAAATTCTTCCCTTTATACAAACGAGAGGACTGAGCTAGAGTATTTCTAATATCCCTTACAACTCTATACTTTTTTTTTAAAGATTTTATTTATTTTTTGACAGAGAGAGACAGTGAGAGAGGGAACACAAGCAGGGGGAGTGGGAGAGGGAGAAGCAGGCTTCCCGCTGAGCAGGGAGCCCGATGTGGGGCTCGATCCCAGGACCCTGCAGACACTTAACAACTGAGCCACCCAGGCACCCCTACTTTTTTTTTAACTCAGAGATGAGGAGTAGGGGTGGAGGGTGCAGATGTTTTCAAATGCCAGAGACAGAAATTCCATTTTTACAAACCTTTAATGCACAAGTCAAGGGTCAACTCCTGTACTAGGCCCTAGTGATTCAGAGATGAATGTTGAAACCCAGTCCCTATGTACAAGTAACTAGTAGGAGAGAGACATAACCAATTAAAATAAGAGAATGACAGGTGTTTTGACAGGGAATATGTACAGTACAATGGAAACTAAGACATCTATTTCTTAAAGAACAGGTATGTATTATAATTTTTTAAAAATCACATTCTGAAAAGTCCCAGGTCTCCTGAATCTGACCAGGTATAAGGCCTGTCTTAGTTATTCTCAATGGTCTTCAGTATTCTCATTGGTAAAATGGGATCTTACCTGTGAAGATTAGGTTGAAATTAATTATTTTACTCACATTGTGTTTGCCAAAGAGCAAGCATTCAACATTTCTTAGTTTACTGCCACTGCCCCCCTCACTTGCTACCTCCACCCCATTTTTTTCTTTCCTTTTTTAAAAAGATTTTATTTATTTATTTGAGAGAGAGCATGAGTTGGGGGGTGGAACAGAGTGGTAGGGAGGGGGAAAGAATCCCAAGTAGACTCCACGCTGGGCTGGGAGCCCAAATGGGGCTCGATCTCAGGACCCTGAGATCATGACCTGAGCCGAAATCAAGAGTTGGACACTTAACCGACTGAACCATCCAGGCTCCCTCCCCATTTTTTAAACACTCATCAATTATTTGTCTACTGTTGGATAAGAAAGAGACTTGGAATATTTTCTTTGGTTCTCCATTTTGGTCTCTATATAATTGAAGAAGGACTTTTCTTTTACCTTTAAGGTCTTCCTGCAGATCATTTGTTTTGTGCTGGGTTCAAGTTATCAGTGGAAACCCCAATTACTTAAGGAGTAAAACTGAATTTCCAGAAATGTGGGCTTATCTATCTCTATAAGAGGTATCATATTTTTTGTCCAGAAGAAAAGCCACAGGTAAAAAAAAAAAAAAAAAAAGAAGTATACAGATGAGAAGTCAAAATGACAACCTATTTCTGGCACTGACAATCCTGGAATGGATGGGAGCCTTCTAGAGAGTGTGTGTGTGTGTGTGTGTGTGTGTGTCTCCACTAGGAGCCTTCTAGTGTGTGTGTGTGTGTGTGTGTGTGTGTGTGTGTGTGTATGTCTCCACTAGGAGCCTTCTAGTGTGCGTGTGTGTCTGTGTGTGTGTCTCCACTAGGAGCCTTCGTGTGTGTGTGTGTGTGTGTGTGTGTGTGTGCGTCTCCACTAGGAGCCTTCTAGTGTGTGTGTGTCTGTGTGTGCACGCCTTCTAGTGTGTGTGTGTATATCTCTACCCTTCTAACTAGAGCTCTGCAGGCATGGGACTGTTTCAAAAAAGACTGATAAGGTGAAGGGACTATAAGAAATGGCTGTTTGAAGGCACTCAAGAATCTTTCCATTCAGGACAGTTTATTTTTTTCATTTAGTTCTTGATATAATCCTTCAAGGTAGATAACAACATACTCATTTCACACATGAGGAAGGTGAGGTTCAGAGAAGTTTCCAGCCTGGATCTAACCCCAAAGCCAATACCTAAGGAGTATAGACACAAGCCTGAAGAAATTGATCTAGTCCATACAGGATAGTTAGTAAATGAAAGCTCTACAGAAGCACAGCATTGCCTCTAACTACCAAAAATGACCTTCCTGGCAAGATGGTAGTTGAGTCCCCATCAGAAGATAATATTGGATTATTAGATGACTACCTGTCAGGAAAATTGGAGGGGGTGTTTGGGTGGGGACTCATGCATCTGAAGTGGTACTCAAACCTGTCAGATCGTCAAAATCACATGTAGAATGGTTAAAATGCAAGTTCCTGGGCTCCAGCTAAAACCAACTTAGTCATAATTTTAAAAGAAATAAGTGTCCCAGGCGGCTCTTTTGACTGGCTAGATTTGACAGCCACTAGACTGGATGATTCTTCAAGTTAAGCCTTTACACCTGTACCTGATCAGTAAAATGAGATGGTTAAGTGAGGGAGGGACTAGAAGCATAGCAGCAGAAAGAAACAAGCCTGGCTACTTTGCCAAGGGTCAGCTTTACAGTCTTTTGACTGTGGGGTAGAAAAGCAATTGGTGGTCTGGCACTTATAAGTACATACTCTGAAATCAGCCACCTGATTTTCAAATTCTGGCTCTGCCAGTTGCTGGCATGTCACTCTGAACGAGTTTCTAAACCTTGGTTCAACTATAAAATGATGATAATTTTCCGTATGGCTATTTTTAGTACTAAATGACAGAATGTACAACAAGGCATCTGTACAGGGGTGGCTACTGGAATATTAGGGAGAACACAAAGAAACTTCTATGATGCCACCTTAGAGTACTGGGATATATTTAAAAACCCAGAGGTTCACTAGTGCTCAACAGATGAAAAGATGACAGGTGAAATGCAGGACAAAATTTGCACAGGCTTCTTAACTGAACAAATGTCAATGCAGAGACTTATTTTCTCATTAAAATTTATCTATGCCTCACTGATTCATATTTGCAGCGTACTATTCATCCTGTTTGTTTTATAAATAAACGTTGCTAAAAATAACTGATTAACCAGGAAGCCTGCAAGAAACAGAAAAAGGACAGAAAAACTACAAAATTTGTAGTGAAATTCAAGCAGAAATCATACATAGAGAAAATGAGACCATAATTTATCATTCAACAACAAAAGTTAGAAGTGGCAACTAACCTCTTCTCTAAGTTTTTTTTTTTTAAATAAGATTTGGTTCTCAATATAGGGAAAATAAGGAAAACATCTTTTTTTCATTTGTTTTTAACAAGCAAACACACCAAGAAGTATTAGAACATTTATAAATAATGCATCCCATTATTGACTCTTTCTTTGAAGATAACCAATGACAAGTGCTATCAGTTGTACATAGAAGGAGCCCACTCCATTGTACAGTTCACTAGCCCTGCTTATTTTCTTCCCTCAGCTTGACTTAATATTAGTAAATTTATCAGGTATTTAATATGTGCTTGCCACTATTCTAAGCATGCTAAATGCATTCCCTCACAACTCTATTTTATAAATTAAGCAATTAAATCTAGGAGAGATTAAGTAACTGGCTCAATATTACAGGGCAGTAAGCAACAGAGCCAAGGCTCCAATCCACTCAAATCCAGGCTGTGCTCTTAAGGAGTCTCACTCTACTGCCTCCCTGACTTCCTCCTAC